AAGATGAAGATGGTATTGTGACTCACCAGTGCGAATGTGATGAGGGTTTTGATGGTGCCACTTGCAATCAACGAACAAATGCGTGTGAAAGTAATCCATGTTTGAATAATGGATGGTGCATTGAACAAGGAAGTCGTTATAAATGTCAATGTTTAAATGGATATTCAGGAGTGCATTGTGAAAAAAAGTTTGATTACTGTTTATCAAGACCATGTTTGAATGGTGGTAGTTGTAAAAATGGGCTTAAAGACTTTCACTGTGACTGTTTACCAGGATACAAAGGTATTGAAAATATTCAAAAGGTAAAATCAGAAAATAGTACAATCCACATAAATCCAAATAAAATTTCAATTTAAAATACTATTATATTTTTCCTGGCATGGCTGAAAATAACAGCTGATCAACAATCAATGAACATCTACTTTTGACAAAAAAAAATTTAATTTAAAAAATTATAAGCAAAAGTTAATTTTGCTTATTATTCGGACTTTATTTATTATTTTCATTTATTATTATTATATTTATTTATTAGCTTCATAATCTCAAAAATTTATTAAGTGTCAAAACAATACTTTCATTTTAAATGTTAAAATTGATTAAACAGACAGTATACAATAAGTTATAATCATAAAATAGTATAAAATAAGTTATAATCATAAAATAGTAGCAGACAACAAACAACTATTTCATTTAATAAAAAATTAGTGTAACTAAATCACTTGCAAAGAAAAAAGTGAAACTTTTACCTTTTTTCCAAGAGTGATTATCTTTTCATATTTTGATTCACCCAAAACAAATAATAGTTTTTTAACATTAATGATATCTCCATCTATTTGCTCCATTTAATTGCAATTTTCTATTGTAAAGAAAAGACCTACTTAGATAAAAGTAGATACTGGTTTAGAATTAAAGTTTTTAATATGAAATCAGTATCTAAATCACCAGCTAAGAATAAAAGAAAGTTTTAGTAGATGTTTTAGTTAAAAGTAAAGATTTAATTTTTTCAAGAAAAAAGTATAACTTTTTTCTTAGAAAGTTGTTCAAAAACTATCATTTGGTTTGGGCAAATCAAAATAATATGATAAAACAGCTGTACAAAGAACTGAAAAGATTTATTGAAAGTTCAAAGCAAAATATAAAAATTTATATTAAAAAATTAAAAATTATATTTTATAATAATTTATATTGTGTTTAATTAAAAGATTATTCATGAAATTATTTTTCAAATCATTTTTTTGTGGGTTATCAGGCTTAATAACAATATGGCTCTGTATGATATTTCACTGTATGGCTCTATAATATTGTGCAAACTCAAAAAGTGTAATGTATAAGGTGTTACAATTACAAAATTTAGTTGAAAATTACAAAATTTAAATATGATTGACCAGAAAAAAAAATTAATCATCTACTTTTCAATATTTTTTACTTTAGGTTCAAATCATTATATTTCAACCAATTTGAAGAAAACTTTTAACAGCATAAATATTAGCTTGTTTGTATACTTGACAGTTAATTTTCTAAATTTATTTTTAAGTTTTATTATTTATAAAATTTGTAAGATTTATTAAGTAAAAATGTGAAGTATTATTGGTTTATTATCAAGTAAAAATAACAAAAAATGCAAAAAAAAATAATTATTCTGTTTTTGGGATATAAATTGAAACAAAATGCTTAATAAAAATGGAACAAAAAGTTTAATAAAAAGTTTGAAAAATTGGGACAAAAAGTTTCAAAAATTTTCTTTTATTTTGAAATAAAAATTTCTTTTAAAAGAGTTAAAAAGTATAAATTTTTAGATCTCTTTAGTTGAATGGAATCAAAAAGTTTGTATATTTTGAATCAATTTTAAAAATATGCTTGATTATAGGTACAATTTGCGAAATTAATATTGATGAATGCGCAGCTTCACCATGTCTAAAAGGTACTTGCCTTGATACAATAAATAACTTCACTTGTGCATGCATAGCTGGCTATGTTGGTAGACTTTGTGATGTAGTTCTAAATGAATGCAGTTCTAGTTTTTGTGAAAATGGTGTTTGTGTTAAACAAAATGAAGAATATTCTTGTAGCTGTGGAATTGGTAGTTTTTACTTCTTCAAGTCTTACAAGTTCTTTTAAAAATTATCTATAATAAAGTTTAATATTTATTATTCTATTTATGATGTATATTATTTCTATTTAAAATTAGTTTTTATAATTATAATTAAATATAGTTGGTTTTATAAGGTAATATAGCTTTAGTAAAAAAATGGTGAAATAATAAAGATACATTAGTTTATAAATAAATTAAAGTATAAATAATTGTTTTACTTTTATAAATTAATAATGATAATAGTAAATAAAACTTATAAATAAATAATTTTTTGGTTTGATTTAAAGCTTTAACATTATTTTTTGTTTATGACAAATTTTTTAGGTTACACTGGGACGTTGTTAACATTATTTTTTGTTTAAATTTTTTAGGTTACACTGGTATGCATTGTGAGCTTAAAGTTGATTTGTGTACATTTTCAAACTTTTGCATTAAGAATAATGCTGATTCTTGCGAAGATCATGGTTCAAATGTTTCTTGTGTTTGTAAAAGCGGTTGGTCTGGTAGTAACTGTGGAATAAATTTTGATGATTGTTTAAACAATAAGTGTACGAATGGTGCAAGATGTGTTGATAAACTCAATGGTTATGATTGCCATTGTCCCTATGGATTCACTGGAATGTTTTGCGAAAGTAAAGAAGTTGTGATTATTAAATGCAATATTATGCTGATATTAATAATTATTTACATTATGTTAAACATTTTATTTAAGTTTATTTATTTAATTTTATAGTTGGTCCACCCAAACAAAATACAGACATTATTATTGAATTTACTACTGACTCATGTCAAATGTTACTGGTATTAATTAATTTTTGTTTTATCAAACATGCTTTTTTGTTTTAAGGAAAGTAAAATCACAAAATTTATATAAAAATTTTATTTATAGAATGATCTCAATCATGTAACAGTCAATACATTTAATATACTTGGAAATTTATGTAAATGCAATACTGATAATGATTTATTGTTACAAGAAAGTAAAGTCCTATGCAAAGATGAGACTTCTGGAATATTTAAAGCTACCTTAAAAATTAATAATTTACAATGGGAAAAAAACATCATTTGTTCATTGCAAAAAAGTTTGCAGAAAAAGGAAAAACATTTAATATGTAAATCATTATTAACGTTTTTTGCTGATATTTTTACAAATATTTTTAAAGACTCAGATTTTTTTTTAAAGTATTCTTTTTTTAAACATTTTTTTGTTTTTGTTTTTAAGTTGCTTTAAAGAAAAATTTTTATTTAAGTAAATTTAATTTTTATAATTACTTAATTTTGTTTAAAATTTTGTTTAAGGAAGGCTTTTTTTTTAATCTGTTTTTCTTTTCTTTTTTTTAATTAAGACCACATGAAGCTTTTCATTCTTGCTCTCACAAAACATCTCTTTTCAAAACCACAAATGGAAACTACTGCTTTTTTAATGGAATGTTTGTATATTTGGCATATAAGCATTGGTTCTGATATTATCTCCTTTCCTTAATCTATTAGTTCTTTGATAGATTCTTGCATAAGCTTGTATATTAAAACCTTTTTTTGTTACCTTGCGTGTGATCAAACTTATATCTTTCATTATTTCTCCATTTGAGCTTAATAAAAAAATTAAAATAGATTTTAAATCAAATAAAAGAGTTAGAATCAATGCATTAACGTTCAAAACATTTGTAAAAATTGCATTTGTCTGTTGCTTTTAAGACCTTTTCTCAAAAAAATATTTGAACAATGTTATTTTCAAAGTATTATTTTGAGAAATTTGGTCAAAATATTGCTTTGAGATCTTTTCTCAAAATATTTTTGTTCCAGCTGTTCTTTAGGTTCAAATGTTTCTTTTTATGAGGTTAAGTAAAGCCATCCTTTGAATTAATTGGGCCATCCAGTTCAACAATTATATTCCTTAATGGTAATTCATTACAATGCAGCATACAAATAGACCAGAATAGTTTCCTTGTGACTAAATATTCCAGATTTTCCTTGGGACTAATAATTCCAGATTTGATAGCAAACCTCCATCTTTTCCTGAAAGCTGTTATTTAAAATCTTCTATGTTTTTTAAGGAGTCATTGTAGTTGGAAACAAATATTCCTGGATAATTCAATTTTCTCCATCAAACATTTCCTTTTAACAACCACTAGAGTTTAAAATGAGCTTTAATTCACCGCTAAATAACAAGCCCCCCCCCCCCTTATTTACAGAACAATTAGTTTTTCTTTAATTTTTAATTGAATTTATATTATGTGATAATAGGTGTTCCCTAAGTTTTTGTACAAGGTTTTTTTACTTCATATTGATTGCAAGTTTAAATGTGTAAAAAGATCTGAAAAAATTTGCATATTGTTTTAAAATCATATAAACATACTCATTTTTGTCTTTTTATTTTTAAAAATGATAAAAAGGAAACATGAAAAAAAAAAAATTGCAAAATATAATTTACAGTTGAATATTTTTCAATAAGAATGTTCCTTATATAATTCCGTTTATTGCAGAATTAAACATTGTGAATATGAATAAAACTAAAACCACAACTAATTATTAAGCCAATAAAAAGTCAGTAATTTTGCAAAGGATAATAAAATTTTCTAAATAAAAATGTTTTTTTTTAATTTTTCAAGATAATGGTATAAGTTAAGTTCCCTTCTATACTATTTATGATATACTATGGTTTTTTTATATCCATTTGACTCCTAAAAAAGTTTTCAATCAGCATTTTTCTAGTTAAAATTGTAAAATTTACTTCTCTATAATCAAGTTAAATCCTGGCACAATTGATTGCTTTTAATATTTTGATTTATTGTTTATACTGTAACTGATTACACAAAAATATTTTATGAAAGTTGTTTTATTACTGCTTTTCTTGTGTTATTTGACTTAACAAAGTTTTTTCTGATAAATTATTTAAAATATAAAATATTGCTGCATAAATTATAAAATATTGCTGCATAAATTAATGTTACATTTTTACTTTTCTTTAAAAAAAAAAATATTTTTCTGAATACTGAGGACACTCTATGCTAATTTAAAATTTATTTCTCTAATTTTTATTCATCTTTTCCAAATTTTAAACAGACTGTTAATCATTGAATTATTAAGATTTATTAATATGAATCATTGAAAGAGGTGATAAGTGATAACATTAATTACTTAATTGTTTTAAAATTAGTCTGAAAAGCGGGTTTTTCAAACTTTAAAATCCTTTTTTTTTTTAGATAACAACACATATATACATTCAGTTTTGAACTCCAATGAGAAATGTATTGACTTGTATGTAGAAGCGAATATGGCAAGGAAAGTTGGTTCAGCAGATAATTCAAATAATACTATTGGTAACATTTTAATTCTGATGCTTTTTTAGAGTTTTTTTTTTTATTTTAAAATAAAAATTGATAACTTCACAAAAGAAAATGATTTTTATGTTTAAGGTGTGGTGGTAGGAATATTGGTTGGTTTATCAATATTTATTTTTTCATTGTTTATTTGGTGTGTTAAATTGAGGAACAATCGAATGAAAGTTGGCACTTTGCACAAGTTTCAAAAGTAAGTTTAATATTTTATGTTGGATATGTAAGAACTAAGTAACAGTATTAATTTCTGGTTGGTAAAGAGGCATTTTGCAGTTCTTTCTGATTGGTGGTATTCAAAGTTTTTTCTTCAAAGTATTTCATAAATTTCTCAACATTATTGAAGCCTCGGACACCAAACCAGGAGTGATGGTTTTGTGACTTTTTGGGGGTTTTTTGGGGAATTTCACAATTCTACTTATTTTCAATGACACTGGGTAGTTATTATCTTCACATTTATTGTACAATAACTACACATAAGGAAAGTAATATACTTTTTTTTTTTAGTTGTGTGGTCTGTTGTTTGTGTCGTGTGTGTGTGTTTACAAATATATATATATATATATATATATATATATATATATATATATATATATATATATATATATATATATATATATATACACATATATATACACACATATATATACACACATATATATACACACATATATATACACACACATATATATATATATAAATATGTGTTTTTTTTAATATTAATTAGGATGTTTCTATGCATCGTAGATGCATAGAAACATCCTAATTAATATATAAAAAAAGAAACATTCTAATTAATATTAAAAACATCCTAATTAATATTAAAAAAAACAACAAATTTCAAAAATTACATTTAAATACCTCTAAATGTATATTATATAAATATATATATATATATATATATATATATATATATATATATATATATATATATATATATATATATATATATATATATATATATATAATATTGGGACTCAATATCCATTGATGTTTGTATTAATTAAGATGTTTCTATGCATCGTAGATAACAGGGGCGTTTAAAGGAAATTTTTTTGATGTATTTTATAAAAGTGTTTTAATAATTCTTTATATGACTTATAACATTGTTAAAATGGTCACTAAAGCTCAAAATATGATTTTTGCAAACTAAAAAAGTTATTTTTCGAAAATACTCAGTTGTCGTAATGTAAAGTATTTACAGATTATAATTTTCTAAATACAAGATTTTGCTGTGTAAATTTTTTATATAACTTTATAAATAACTTTTAATTATAAATAAACTTTATAAATACTTAGAGTCAAAAACTTATTGTAATATCTGTACAATGCTAAATAATGTTTTTATAAAGATGTCTGGCTATGAAAATAGCTGTTTAACAAAAAACAGTTAAGACATTTTTTGAAGTTATACTTTTATTATAATTGAATTTTGTTTAAACCACAACTCATAAGTATTTATAACAAATTTGTTAAAAACTTGTTTACTATCTATAGACTCTGTGTGAAAAGCTAAACTAAAATATTTAAACTTTATCTGCCATTTTGCTTTGTAACTTCTACTTATTATTCTCTAATAACCTTTTAGGCACCTCAGTAAAGAAAAGGTTTGTTGCTTGTAATGTTTCAGTATTATTAGATTCGAGTTCATTTTTGAAATTCAGGCAGTTAAGTGTAATTCAACTAAACTTCCCACAGGTCAAACTCACGTAATAAAGCCTTTGGTTTGGCAATAATAAATAATCCTAATAAAGACTTTGATTAAATAAAAGGCACTAAAACATATAATTTGGTCTTTCCAACTAGTATAACAAGACACTGAATTTCTGCAACTGTTTTTAGAAGAAACTAAAGATTAGAACGAAGAAGTTAAAACACAGGTGCTTTATAACACTTTAAAATTGTATCAATCAAACATTATACTCAAACATTAAACTCAGTAATCAGATAGTCTAGCAAAGAAACAGTGATAACCAAGTTAAAATAATTTGAAATGCAATTTTTAGGCTTGTTTAAAGCATATTTGGAGGTGTTGATTAATAGTATTTCTAAGTATAGAGACAAAATCTTTTAATGCTTGAAGATTTAAACTATAAAAAATATCATTATTACTTGCGTGCACAATCGAGTAATTAAAAAAGTTATATTAAAAACATGTCTTGTTATGCACAGTGCAACAATAAAACCAAAATTTGTTATTAACTTCAGTAGAAGAAGCAGTAGCAGAGGTTGCACCATTAAATGTTCTATTGATATTTTATGACATTCTTTGAGACAGAAAACCACAGGAATAAAAACTTTTGTAAAGTATCCATGCCACAATTTCACATTTCATAACATCCAAAGATAAATCATTAATAGCTTTTATTAAAACACTAAATAAACAAGTTTTTCCTTTATGTTGTTCATCATAGTTCCTAATCCGATTATCATGATTCTCATAAAAGATAAATAATATGGCTAATTAAAATTTATAATTATTATTATATTATTAAATAATATGGGTAATTGAAATTTATAAATCTGGATATAGACATGATAATTTTTTTTGCCACAAATTCTTGATTATCAAAGAAAACCAAGGAACAAATACTAATTTTTATCAATGCAATTATAAATAGCACTTGTAATGACTCTCTGCCTTCCTTTCTTGTATCCAAAGGATATCGTGATATCAAAAATTCTACATAATTTAAATTTGGTCGCCTAACTTTAAAGAAAATGATGTTTTTTTTTTAACATACAAACTTTTTCTTTAAATTGCTATATAAACTTGTTAATTAAGCGACATTTTAAACTTATTAACGGCCATGTTATACGTTTAAAAAAAAAATTAATAATTTAATAAAACACAAATTAAGCAGGGTATATGTTAAAAGGGAAGTCCGAATTTTATTTTCCATACTTGAAACTTTTTCTCTCCTTATTTAAAATAAAATGATACACATTCTAGTGTAATAAAACTGGGGATGTCCATTGATATATTTTGATATATACTTGTTGTTACTAGTTAATTTTACCTCCTGGTGGAAGTTAAACAATTAAACTTGATAAAAATTCTATTCGGGGTGTTAATGTTAAAAGGGAAGTCCAAAGTTTGTTCTAACTAAAATAATCGTTTTGATCTTTTTTAAACTAATGAAAGAAAAAATTAGAAAAATAAAGTTTTATATAACAAAATAAAATAAGGCATGTCAAATCAAGTTTCTAATCAAGTTAATTAACTCAAAAGGTAGTTTATATAACAAAATAAAATAAGGTATGTCAAATCAAGTTTCTAATCAAGTTAATTAACTCAAAAGGTAGTTTAACCTCCATTAAAATATTGTAATTATTATTTTTTAATAATCGCAAACTGATGAAACCGAAACTTGACGCATAGCTCAACCTACAAAAACCTTCACCTACAAACTTGATCTACAAAATAAAACATCTACTAAAAAGTGAAAATAATTTTTAAATGTCCTACTGAGGCCTAAATTGTTTTCAAACTATTATAGTCCTTTTTAAATTAGACCGATTTTTAACGTTTTTTTTTTGCGTACTTTTGAAGCATAATATTTCCAATAAAAGTTTGTTTTTAAGAATGAGTTTTACCTACAAAAGAATAATACAACGACAGGACATGTCGTGAAAGTATACCTTTAAATACAACGGAAGAACATAACAGGAGATCATTTTACATTGCTCTACTTGATGCGTTGATATTGGACATAAATACAGGTTTTTCTAATGACAATTTACAATGTCTTCAAATCTATGCTTTGATGCCAAAAAATAATATTACACTGAATTATAAAGGTATTGTAGAAACTCTTTCTCCAATCAGTAATGTCTATAGCGTCATTCTTGGACATCTAACACTTACCTGTACCTGAATTTACATCGGTTGAACTATGGCAGTGAAAATGTATAAGGATGAAAGATGAGAATCACATCACTACCTCCTGATCTTTCTGTTATTTTTGATTTGTGTGACCAGGTGTAATTTCCAAAATGGGATACTTAGCTGAAAATAAAGATCAAAAATGAAAAAAAATAATAATCAATTTTTCAGTACTTTTGAAGCGTGATATTTAGACAGGCCGAATTGTTTTCTTTATTAGTTTTATCATTTTTAATAATAAATTAACAATAAACAATAAGCAGGTAAAATACCCATCAAAAAGTAAAAAATAATCTTCTCATAGTAATCAATGTCGTAGTAAATATCGAATTCTGACGAAATAAAAAAGTAACTTAATAAAATTTTTCAAATATGTAAAAGTGCTGTTTATATTCACGTGGCGTGGCAAAATCCATTATGCCAAAAATTTTTCACTGAAAGTCAAATGTCAGTAGCAATTCGTCCAGTTAATTTAATTTGACCACAAAATGATTTAAGTTCAAATTATATTTGAGGGTAAATTTTGTGCAGCTATTGTGAACCACCTAAGAGGGCGTCTATCAAGTAGGTACGCAGTGAAACCACTGATTTAGGACCCTCTCTCTTCTTTGTACGCATTCGTAAGTTTTTAGATAACTTCCTCCCCCATACCTGCGTACATACTTAATGTACATTAAGTACGTACAACATTTTCTGTTTATGAAAAATTTATTCAAAATGTTTATACATTTAAAATGTTTTAAAATCAAAAATATTTACAGTATTGGTTCAAAATTATGTATTATTTCGAAAACATATTTAATTATATTTTTAACTTTAACATTATATTTTAAATCTTGAACTTGTTTTTATTTACAGGGCCGACGACTCGGGTTTAGAAGTGGAGGGGCACAATCATCAATTTCTAAAGTCCTCTACATCTAAAAATTTCTTTAAAAAAAAGAAGTCCTTTTTTTTTCCAAAAAAGTGAAATGGCAGTGCTCCCTGCCCCCCTTCCCGATGTCGTCGGCTCTGATTTAATGATAGTCAACCAGGATGAGCTCAAATGAAAGTCTGAAAGAGGTCTTCAAAACCCATATCGTACCCAATATAATACATGTTTTTTAATTTTAAAGAAAATAAAGTTTAATCAGTAATAACTTTAATTGAAAATAATTCAGAAACACTAAACAAACAAAAATATATATACATATTTTTATCTGAATCAAACCACTTAATATAATTCTTGAACATAATGTATACATTTTATTTTGTTTATGTGATAAATTTTATTTTAATTCTCCGATGCCATGTTTAATATAGAATGTCCTCACGATTTAAAGCAAAAATTTTAAATCAAGCTCAGCTTTTCTAAAATTAAATTTCTGTATTGAGTTGATTATTTTCTATCTCTAATATTTAGTATCCTGAGTCAGAAAACTTCATTAAATATAGTGCAAATTAAACTAAAAAATATATTTTACTTTTTTCTGATAAAAAAATTATTTTCTCTTGTATTTATATTGCAAAAGTAACAATTATTTTTTGTTTCAGGGAAGATATTACTTTTGACAACCCTGCGTACGCCGGAGAAACCTATAATGAAAACGAAACCATTTGTGAGTGCTGCGAATCAACTGATTTCCAAGAAACAAAATGGGCTCACAAATACGACAGTTCGCGTAAGTTATTTTTAAGAGAAAGATCTGTTCCCGCTGGTCGCTTGTTTGATCTGCATACAAAAGATGAAAATTAATCAATTAAAGTCTAATTCTTCAGAATAAAGAGATCAAAGCGCTGTGGGACAGAAAATGGGATTATCGCTTTCCTGTAAATAGACTTTAGTTTTATAAGTTAGGCAATTTAAAATTTTTGAATCATGTTACATAAGTTACAATAGTCATTTTTTTTGCAGTTTTGAGTAAATAAAATTAATTGATGAAACTTGATTTTTTTAAATTTTGTATAAAAAATCACAAAATGTTTTCTCAAAACTGCAAATTTAGATTGACATTGCTTCACTTATAACATTTCAAATATCATTCTTCATCTTCATTTAGACCCGTTAGAAACGAACAGAAGCGTCATAAATACAAATTAATGAGAAAAATATTATGAAACAATGGATGGAGAATGATATTAGGATGAAAAAAAAAAAATAATCTCATTTCATTTCAACTTAAAATAAGGAGCTTATGAAAAATTAGTTGTATTTTCAATTGTATGAAATACATTTAGTTTGAGTTAAGTCGATTTGGAATATCAATTCTTGAAAGTTTATTAATATTGTATAAATGTATTGTTTCCATTCTTTAAACTTTAATCTCATTGTAATTCCGTAAAGATAGCAACCATGTTGGTTAAAAATAATGCAGCCTAAATTCCATCAGCATTTATCTATTGAATGCATTCCTCGAACTATTTAGTTTTAAGAGAAAGATTAAAAAACGGACGAATTTGTTCTCTTATGTGTTGTAAAAAATCTGTACATTTTATAGAATCTCTATCAGAAAACGTTCGATTTAGTTTATTTAAATCTAACGTTCTTTCGTTTTCAAGAACTTATTAGGTGTTCTTGTATATTTAAGTAGCCTATAAGCGCATATATATTAACCTTGAGGCTAAATCCGAGGAAGGCATTCGAGCTCCTTGATCCGTGCACTAAACCTTTTTTAAGCAATTTAGCCTATCGATGAACATCGCCATGAAGAATTACGCTACGAAGTCTTGGATCTTCCGGCGCGATAAAATCCTTTCGGCTTGTATGTAACAGGCCTGGAGATAAAACAGCTTCATTTGTGAGGTAGCTACTATACGCAGACTCTTTATAATGACTTAAATTAGTTAGAGTATCGATAAACTCGGATTTTGATTCGTAAGGAATGGCGTTACCCGAACTAAAAGGGTAGATACCGTTCGTCAACAAGCTGTAACGAAACGAACTACTCAATTGTTCGGATTGTAAAATGTCAACTGAATGTTTTGGAAAAGATAGCGGATTATCTATCTTTAATTTATCATTTATTTTTGTCCTCTCTTCTGGTTCTGGACTGACAGTTTTTACAGGTAACGGATCGGTTTGCATCTTTACATTATGACGCAATTTTATATCTACAACGCGAGTTTGATGGGGAACTTCCCCTTCGCAATCCATAGCTGAATTTCGAAAACCCGTAGGATCAGAGGAAGGTCTATGTATAACTGCAGGGTTCGTTCTAACTGTGTGCGCAACGTTTATGTACTCCTTTTCATCTTTTTGATGTACAGGAGATACTGACGTTGAATAGTTCATATTGGATTCCTCAGAGTTGCGTTTAAAAAAAGGATGCTGAAGGGCTTGGTAAGGACTTATCCGTGTCTTTGGATCGTATTCAAGCATTTTTAAAACAATATCTTTGAATTTCATATAATCCTGAGGAGAATGACCCGATTCGTTTTTTCTACGCCCTTCTGGTCCACCAATATCACAGCCGAGTATGTCATGCAACTTACGACTACCATTTTCAATGTATTCCTAAAAGATAAACTCAAAATACATGGTTTGTTAGCAATAATATTTAATTAGTAAAGTGGAAAATTACAATAGATAGAGCTTCACATATAAAAAAAACATTCTTTACATATTAATGTGATTTGTAGGTAAAAGACGCGAAAATGTCGAAACTCATAAAAGTGACTGCGTTACACAAATAAAAATCGTCATGTGATGAGGTTTTATATTTTATAGTAAAAGTTATTGATGTTAGTTTTCTAAATTAACTTTATGGTAGTGAACTGATTTTTTTTAAAAAGTGAAATTATAATAGCTTAGTTTTTTTATTAGAGCCTCTTTGTTTAGCACATGAAGCATTTGTGGTTTCTATATACGTGATAACCGCGTGGATAAGATTTAAACAGTATTAACTTCTTTGTGTTTTATGTTTATGAATTAAAACTTGTAATTTGTTACAAATTGTTACAGTGATTTTATTACAATTTACTTTAGCTCTTTTTTTTTATTGCTTACTTATTTACTAATTATAGCTTTATTTTTTGTATTTTAGTTCAATTTTTAATTCAGTACCAATTCCCTACAAATAATTTTCACTTATCGTAAGTGGATACGATTGCAACTTACCGGCCTCTGTTTTATAAACGCGTAATATTTGTGCGCGTTTGCCATGTCGTAGATAATTTTTAAAATGTGCTAAAAACAATTGTCAAAAAAAAACAACCTTTTGTATATATTCAATTTGTTATTAATTATTCGATTTGTTATTATTTATTCGATTAGAAAAGTCTAAGGATGACGAAATATGCAAAGAATGCATAAAAAAGAATTATAAATAATTTTCAAAAATAATTGATAAATTGCTTACTTTTTTACTATCTTTATAACGGCGAACTTGGTAACTTCCATCAGGTAGACGCTCAAAATATTTTTTTGTTTTTGAAGCTTTGTCTAGTAATTTCGTGGGAGGAATTCCAAGAACTTCTACAATTTTGTTCATTTGATCAATCTAAAAGAAAAAAAATGCATATTGTTGCATTTTAAACTTTTCTGAAAACTTTTAACATTTAAAAACAGTAATTAAGTTGTTTTAGTCCTTACTTCATCTGCCCCACTAAATAAGGGCTCCCCCGTGTGCATTTCTACCAAAATGCAACCTAGCGACCACATATCAATTGCTAAATCGTATGGAAGCCCTAACAAAACTTCAGGTGAACGGTAAAATCTACTTTGAATGTAATGATAAAGCTATAAGAAAAAGTAAACATTAATTAAAACAAAATATTTTTATTAAATACAAATTTTTATAAGCTGTCTGGTGGTTATTCCTTTATCTCAAATCAAATTCTATTTATGCATCATAATTTTTGGGTACCTATCAAATGTTACAAAAAACTCTCAATAACGGAATCCTAACACTGGCACAGCTCAAAAACTTTAAAATCTGATATATAAAATTGAGTGAGAAAAAGCTATTTGTCTACATATACGAGTATGACATATATTACGCTGTTTTTAAACATAAAAATAGTGATGGAAACAGTATAGACCTAAAAGCAAGAAAAGCAGACCAGAATTGAATCTAACTTTTCTTATATACACATCTGAGTTTTATATATAATTTTTGCATTTTAACAAAATCCCACTTTTAAAGAAATAGTATACCACTCTTAGCTAGCACTAATTTTTTTTCTATTTTTTAAAATTTCAAAACAATGCAGAAAAGTTAACTGGTGTAAACGCAAAACTTACGGTTTTTATTATACTTTATTCACAAAGAATGTATTCTTTGTGTATAAAACACAATAAACGAAAAACAAAAGAACTAAATTTAAACTTCAACTAAATTAAAAAAATTTTAAAATAAATCTTCAGTCGCTTATAAGTAAATTTAATTTTATACATGTGGCTTCTTATGCAATTGCGATATTTATTATCAGCAATTTTTTTCTTTATGAAAAAATAAGTTTTAATGGAAAAAAAGTTATTTTGATTTTCATAAAATAAAGAAAAAAAGTTATTTTTATATTTTAATAAAATATCGCGTACTAGTCAAAAATATATAAAAGTTGTTTTCAAAAAAAATTTACTTATATAAACATTTTTATTGAATTTTAAAATTACTGCATATCAAGCGTAGCGTTTTTCAATCCGAAATTACCACTAATTGTGACATTTTATATAAATTTGTCATATTAAAGAAAATACAGCTCAAGTGACACAGCAAGACTGATCAAACAGTATTTTCTCCTAACAAAAACTGAAAAACATTGATTACAAAAAAAGTTGTTAAATTTTTTTTTAAAAGTCCCAAAAATTACCGAAAAATAAATAATTAAAATATTTAAATACTCGACTTATTTATATATGTTTTTTAAAAGCAAATATCTATTTAAAAAGTTTTAAAAAACTTTTACGCGTTCCAGCCTTTATGCATAACACATAAAAAATATTTCAAACAAATACAGGGAGTCAAACGTTTTAACGGCATTTATGAAAGTGCACCGGGTCAGAAAATAAGCTAAAACGCATGCTTTTAAGTTGTAGATTTGTTTCTTATTTTAACTTGAATTAAAATTGATTAGTTTGTTTTAAATATTACATATTATTTTACTATTTAAGCTTCAATTATTATTCAGTTATTTTTATATGGTAATAACTTTTTAAAACTACTTCAGAAATTTTAATCAAAACTTAAAAAAATAAACACATTAGAGAGACATAATTAAAATAAACTAACCGTTTGACCAAGTTGACAGGAACTTCCAAAATCGACGATTTTTATAGCACTACGTTTTGGATTACAAAGAAGAACATTTTCAGGTTTTAAGTCACAATGAATAACTTGCAGATCTGGCGTTGAAAGAAAACACAACGCAGTACATAGTTGTTGCGCAAACTTTCGAGTAAGGTTAAGCGATACACCATGAAAATTCGTGTTTCGTAAAAGATCATAAAGGTTATAAGAAAGAAGTTCAAATACCAAGCATAAATGATTTCGCCACATAAAATGCGATTTCAATTTCACTAAAATGGAATCCATATAATGTATTTTAACAGGAAAGGAAACACCGTTCCGATTATTATATTTTTATAATTACCGTGATTATACAAAACTTACCCTATCAAGTATAAAATAAACTAAAAAATAATTCCTGTAAAACAATATTAAAAACCACGTAACTAAAGTAAAGTCACGCCTTGAGGCCCTTCTACATGTAATTGGAACATTGCTTTTTAAAAAAGCCTCGCTAAAATGTCAAAACAAGAGTAGATTCTTTTTATTAATTACTTTTTAAAAATAAAAATAACAAAAAATACCTATATAATATTTTGATTGCGGATCGTTGCTGTTCATGAGCTCTAAAATCTTAACTTCGATTTGGGCTTGATTTAAAAACGGTTTTTTATTTTTGATAATCTTGATAGCAACGAATTGTTGTTCATCGTGGTCGTACGCTTTAACAACCTTGAAAGAAAAAATTAAAACGTAAACAATAATGATAAATTGTAATAAAATAAATGAATTATAAAAAATTTATAAAAATGTTTTTAAACCTGTCCAAATGATCCTTTTCCAATCAATGAATCAATTTCAAAACGATCAATAAATTTTTCGCCACTACGAACGATATAGTCATAATTCTCATCGTCAAATCCTTCATTATGTTTTCCCTTTTTTAGTAACTCCCCTTCTGCTTTCTCCTTATCAGCACGCCTTTTTTTTTTTGCATAATAAACCTAAAATTATATGAGATGTACTGAAAAATTAAAACTCACTAAATGTTTTTGAATTAAAAACTAAACAAAGTAATAAACAAACTAAAATATTAAACAAATTTTGACTTATAAAATTTTTTTAAAGAAATGGGAGTGGGAGACAAGATGAAATAGTGGTTTCTCCTTTGAAATCTGGTAATCCAGAAAAAGCAACTTTTATCAGAATATGACTCTTATATTTTTTCAAAACAATTAACATTAAGCTGCTTTTGATTTTAAATTTAAATTTTAAGTGTCAATTTAATAGTGGGAATAAAAAAATAAGCATAAATTTGTATTAGTGCCAGAATAAATCATTAAACTTTTAATATTTATAAAGTATTGCAAGAATAAAAAAAAAAAAAATAAAGAAAAAAAAACAAAAATTGAAAAGTCATAACTTAATTTCCGATAAAAAAATAAATCATTCTCGAAAACATAAAATTCAATCAAATAAAATTCAAGTCCATGTTAAAAAAATTGTTAAAAAAAATTATATAAATAACAATTTAAAAACAAACATTTTTAAAATACTACAAAAGTAATTTGAAAAAGTTGCAAAATTAAATAAAACAGTCAAAAATAAATGAAAAATTATTTTATTTAAATTAAAGAAGTATACTTAGTGTAAGAATGTATAAAACACACACTTTACTTGACACTTGACAAGGTATCTTATATATACCAAGTAAAAAACTTATTATTTATAAGTTAAACTAAGTTTAAATATTATTTAAACTTAGCTTCTAAACCCTGAGATTGAGATGAAAGAATTTCAATTTCTTTATTAGCTAATGACAAATGTTACCAATCTTCATTTTTGTAACATATTTAACAAAAAAAGTTGAAATATATAGTTTGAGTATTTGGCTGTTGTGGATGTAGTTTTTTATTAATATGCTATTAGTATGAGTTAGTGTTTTTTTGAGGTGGTAATTTTGGTTCAGACTGTTTTCATGTTGATTTTACTTTTCTGTAGATATAGTGGATCTATGTCTTTTGTTGTTGTGTTTTAAAAAATCCTTTTTAAATATGTGGCTGTTGTAAATCTATTTATTTAAATCTGTTGTTGTGTAACATTCACCTCTGCTTTTATGATAATTTAATTCCAAGTTTTAATATTGTTACTTTTACATTTGCCAAACTGAAAACATACTTCAATCAAAGACTGCTTTTCTACTCTAGTTGGTTTATTGATATTTTTTGTAACAACCATCTCTTAGTTCTATAACTCTGATACATGAATGTTCACAAATAGAACCACTGCATTTAGAAACAAAATGAGCATGCTATCAGTGATCATTTGTGCTGGGTTTCAGTTTGTTGTTATAAATTTCTAAATGTGCTGCAATTACTTTGAAGAGTAAACTTTTATTTATGCTTGTTGTAATGATAATTCAATTTTTGGTGACTCATTCAGTCTGCAATTTTGTTGTTATGATTTGCAACTAAGTTATGATTTGCAATTATGTTGTTATGTTTAATGTGAATTTAGAAAAAAAAAAGCTTAACAATAAATACTTAAATTATTTTAAAAGTATTATTATAAAGATCTTAATAAGGATTGCTAAAACTATTAATCAAATAATACATACCAATAAGAGCTTAAGGCACTCTAAAGAATAGATTCTAATATATTATACAACCAACCAACTACTAATAATGGATCTGAATTTTATCACTGATTTTACTATATTTACTAAATTTTGGAGCTGATTATGCTTTTATTACATTTTTTTAAGTAAAAACTAAATGTTTGAAAAAATTTAATAAAAGACATAATAAGATAAAATGTGAGCACTATACAAGTTTTTTTTTTTTGAGCATTTTTTTGTCAATTGAATTTTTCAAATTTCTTATTGCTGTAAAAACAACAAATTTTATTTAAATTTCTAAAACATGATTTGCTCAACGAGGATCAAAATTATATTTTAAACAACTTTTGTTAAAAAATTTTTTTTGATAAAAGATTATAAATAATTAGTTTTTATTTTTACAAAATATTAAAACAATCTGTTTGATAATACAAAATAAATTGATTCTGAAACTTTTATTTTAAAACAGAAATAAAACTGTTGCCACTATTATTTTTTTAACATAACATTTTAAACAAAAAAGCAGAATACAAGACTAAACTTTTAATATATAAAATAAAAGAACAACTTTTATTATTGCCTTTGAAAATCATTAAACTTAAAGCATTTAAAAATTGAGTAGTTTTTTCAGAAAATCAAACAAAAAAACTTTTTTTTACTTTATTCCAAAACTAAAATTTAAAAAAATACTTAAAAATAAACAAAAAATAATAACAAGAAATCGAAAAAAGCCAAACACTTGCTGCTATGCCAACATGTAAACGTACATCATATACAGAGAACAGAGTATTTAAAAGAGTACTTGAAAAACTTTGAATTTTCAAATTTACAGGAGTTTGTAAATTATATACAAGAAATTTTTCTAATATATAAGTTACATATTAAATATAAGATAGTGATTCGAATCCAATTTTTTTATATACAATTCTTTTTAAATTTATCTTTTTTTTTTTTTTAACATTTTAGCTTAGTTCATTGCCTTTCTCTCCCTCACGTCAAACAAAAAAAATAAAGCTGCATTGGAACTTGTTAATATATTGAGATTAAAACTTATTTTACTTACCTATTGAGATCAGTAATGTCAGGTACAATAAAAACTATATATAAGGTAAATATATTTCAATGTTAATTAAAAAAAATTCTTTTCTGTGGACATGTGTCCACAGCTCAGTAAAAGAATTTAAAAAAATGAACATTGATATATATTTACCTCAGATATATATAATTTTTTTTTTTTAATTTCATTTCACTTCCCCGAGGCCATGAAGACTACAGTTGAGGAGGTTACTTTGGTTGTGGACTACAATCTTGATGACTACGGTTAAGGAGACTACATTAGTTGTGGTTACAACTCTCTCTCTCTCAACTCTATAACTCCAATACACAAACCTTGACGAACAAGGCCGCTGCGCGAAGAAACAAATTGGGATCACACTTGGAACTTCCTGCTTATGAGGCGAGTGCTCTGCCACTAGACCACTACCGCATTGATATATCAGTATAATTGATAATAGAGGTAGTTTATCAAACTGTTTTTGTCAATGTTTTTAACAAATTGTTTTTGGCAATGAACAGCCTCATAATAGTATAAAAGCAAGTTGAACATTTAGAGCAATAGATTTTTTTTATACTTGTCAACACTGATCACAGTAGATAAATATATCTGTATGTATTAATATATTTATTTAACATATTAAAAAATTTATAAATTATTTAAATTAAGATATTATTTTTATTTAAAATGTGTTAAATTGTTATTTTTGACCACTATTTATATTTAAACCCTAACCAATGCTTTGCTTTTTACTAACAATTGTTCTTTTGTTTAAAAAACAAACAAACAAAAAAACAAAGAATAAGTGCTGCTAAAAAAAAAATAATAATAATAAGTGCTGTGAAAATTGACACATTTAAGCATATAAGGTATTAAAAATATTACTTAAACATTGCATACAAATGCTTGCAAAAACAAAACAAAAAAATATTTCTTAAACATGCATATAAATAATTTTTAAAAAATATTTAAAATTTGTAAAATAGTCAATTTTTATAATGCCAAAAGTTAAGGAAAATTATATTTTTACAACTTTTAATAGTTATAAAGATATGCATGAGAATTTTTATAAAAATAAGAAAAAACTATTTTAAAAATCAAAGATTTTATTATCTATGATAGTTATCTTAGTTTGCTGACTTTTTTTAAATCAGCATTTAAAACTCCTACTACTTGATTTTTAGGGACTTTATTTAACAAATAAATAACTTTTTTTAAAAACTCATTTTGTAAAAAAGTTTTCGTAATAACAAAGTTTTTTTGTAATAACAAAGTTTTTTCGTAATAACAAAGTTTAAACTTCTGAAAATTTATTTAAAAACTAAAATAATATTAATAAAATAAATAGTAATAATAACAACAATAATAATAATAACAATAATAATAATAATAATAATAATAATAATAATATAAAATAATTGAAACCTTTGTTAAATTATAAATTAATAAAAAATATTTAAAATTATTTGAAAAAAAAATCCATTATTAGTCAAAGCAAATGACTTGCTGAAATGAAAAAAATATATAACAATAATTAAAGAGTTTAATATTCACCTCATTTATATGTTTATAGCACTTAATAAGATCTGTAGAAAGTTTTCTTAATGGGGCTTCTTGGTTGTCCCTAAATACTGTAGGGATTTTTCTAACATAGTAATCATATGATGATTCGGGATTAGTTGCAGGCGGTGGGTATGGAAGCTTTTCATCAACTGTGGAGCTCCCAGATGAACTGCTACTATCACCATCATTATATGTAAGCATTTTACCTAGCAGAAATTGAAATTGAAATTTTTGCAACTAAAACTAAATGAATTGTAGTTTTAAATCTTCTTAAAAACTGCAATTTACTTAAAAAATACTTTATATAACATTCAAAATAAAAAATATACAAATATATATTTATGATATTATTTGTAAAAAAGTTTTTAATTAAAATTTCATGTAGAATATGTACAATATTAACAAAAGCTGTTTTACATTTAATACTGCATCTAGATATTTTGCATTTTAAATTTATTTTATACTATAAATTTAAACAGAACAAGAAATATATTATACAATCTGAAAAAATCGGATATCTATAAAATAAACAGTACTTTTTGTTGCTAAAATACAGGCAGTAAAATCGTCTTAATTTTACAACGTTGTTAAATGACCAAAATATTAAGATCCAGCTTCATAATAGCAATGAAAATATAAAATCTTGGTAAAATTTTCTATAGAATAAAGTTTACAATTTACAGATTTATATGTAAATATTCCAATTAAACAAACTAGCAACAATAATGAATATCAAAAAAATTAAAAGACCACCATTTTTTATGTTTATATTTTCCCGGTGATCGAAGGAAGGCAAAATGCGCGCCATAAATAAGTGGTGACGCACGATTTTTCGAATAAAATTTTATCAGCTTAGGAGAAGATAACATTTAATCAGCAAAATCATAACAAATACTACGACCCGAATATGCTATTTACTACGACCATTAAATAGTAACCAATCAAAAATATTTAAAATATCGTATGATTTTAAAAAAAATTCTGAACTTTTTTTATCTGAATTTTTTAATATCGTAATCGAGTGTATGAATTTATTTCGGCTACAGCATTACTTTTACTTGAGTTTTCAGTTGATAGAAGCAACGGACATAAGCAATAAATTTTTATTGTGTTAAATGATTTTAAAATCGTATTAATTTTACTACTAAATTATAAGTATTTATTACTACACATTTTTTATTACTTCAATAAAGTTTATTTTACGGTTATATTTATCGGCTGCAACACCAAAATTTTTTAATATTACTTAGATGATCTGACGTGTTTTATGAAAACGTATTGAACCATAGGCGATTGAATTTGCTTTTTGCTTATATGTAACCGCTAATGATTTCTTAATACTGACACTTTCAATGAAATTAAATTTATTACACCTTTATGCAATGAAATTATCAAATTAAATGCCAACTTATGGTACTGAGTTCTAACTTCATTAAAAACTTGGAACTAAAAGGACACGAAAATCAAAAGAAAATCTGTTTAATCAAATATTATTTTAGCAAAAAAAAAATTACCGAAAATGAATTTTCTTCCATGATCAGAATTGCCAGATTATAAGACTTTTATCAAAATAACATGGACATAAAACTAGTGCCTTCAAACTTTTCTTGGGCTTTACTATGAAGCTCATAATCCAGTTTATACAAAAGTAGTTAAAATTTAAATTTAAAAGTAGTTAAATTTTTTATTAAAACCACGTTACATAAATGGTTCAAGTTATTACATTTTCAATAAAATCATTTTAAGCGTAATAACTTGTACCAATTGATATCGCAATTCAACAAGTTAGGAAATGTCAATTTCCAGGAGAGATCGGTACTATAAAATAAAAGTTAAAAAAGAAAATTTTTACTCAAAGAGTAAAATAAGTCTTGCAGAGCGCTATCCTCCATAAATAACTGAATTTTGACATTTTGACCCTACTTTAAATGATGTCATATATAGTGAAAGACTCAATCAATAATTTTAACAAAAACAATTCGATGCTGAACCTAGGGCCGTTGCAAAGAGGTTTTAAAGAGTGGGGGTGAAAAATTTTTTTGGTAGAACAAGGCCAAAAAAAAGTCCTCCTTGTTAGCTAACATTTGCCGACTGCCAACTAAAAATCTAAGTTTGTCATCTCTTTACTCAAAATTTGTCGACTAATTTTTGAATAAATTTTTCCTAGGGGTTAGCCATCATCTAATCCTCCCCCCACCCCCTCTCCTTAAGTGCGGTCCTGGCTGAACTTCTTAATAAAAATAATTGGATAAAAAGCTATGTTTATTGGATAAAAAGTTATGCATATTGGACTAAAGAACAAACCTGTTCATGAATACATGATGGCAAATATCGATGGAGCTAAACAAAAGTTATCTGTTACAAAAGTTGAACGCGATTTAGGAGTTCTTATTTTTGATAACCTTAATGTCAGAGCACAGGTAACGTCCAAAGTCGTGGTTTTATTATTCGGCGTACCCTCTACACTTCATACGTTAGACCCTGCATCTTGAATTTGCTGGCCAGTCATGGTTGACATACTTGAGAAGTGACATCGCAACTCTTGAAAGAGAACAGCGTTGCGCGAAAAAATCAATGAAATACGGACCCAGACTAGAGCGACTCAAATTACAAAAACTTAAAAAACGCAGAAGACGAGATGATCAAATTGAACAGTACAAGATTACACATTTTGAAGAAATAGAATTTTTCGTGGCGCAAAGGCAACCGGCGTCGTTGGCCACTCGCAATCTTCGTGGACATAACCGTAAACTTGAGCCGCAATTAGTAAAGCACAGCGCAGTGCGTGAAAACTTCTTCAAAAAACGGGTAAAAAAAATTTAAAACGAACTTTCACAAAGTGCAGTCGACAAGACAACAGTTATTGCATTTAAACATCGTTTAACGTACATCAACCGCTGTACCGCTGCAGCAGGTATCGTAAAAACGGAAGAGCATTATTCCCCTCTTCCTCGTCAATTTTTATTACCATATTTTGTTGATTAAAACAACAAACAATCACAACTTTTAAGCCGCATTTGTGTTTATTTCACTTTAACGACTTGTATTTAATAATAATTGATAACTGAATGAATAAATTCAAATAGAATTGTAATTTGCGTGAAATATTGGCAAACATCTAAGTAAATATTTGAGGAAGCCGTTATATTGCTCTCTGGAAAGTGTGCTTGCACCGGTGCATACAGTCAACAGTATTAACCATTATAAATTCATTTGGCATTTCTTCAGATGATAAAGAAATTATGGGTTATTAAAATTAAAAGATTGAAAAGTTTAAAACATTTTCTTCAATGTTTCGGTAAGTTTCAGTTTTGGTTTTTTTGAAATTTTACGAAACGTAAATTACCTAAGTTTTACTCAACCAAATTTTCGGTACTTTCGGTCCTTCACCAGTTACGATTAATGTAGAATTATAATAGAGGTTGAATATAGCTGAGAAAAAAGCGAACGCTTCTGAATAATATTTTGATTTTAATAATTAAGACATGATAAAATTGATCATCCTCGATATAAAGTTTCGCAAGTTTATTTCTAGCGTTAATAAGCTGTTAATAAAAAACGATAAGTAGTTTCTATTAGAAGCGAATTACTTAAATGCTCGTAAATTGAAAGATTTCTTATCACTTGTTTGAAATTAGGTAGCACCCAATTGACTACATTTTTTTTAAATTATCATTTAAAATATTACTTAAAACAACATTTTAATTTAGGTTTCAGATGAAAAACCAAAAGTTATTAAAAATAAATTTTTTTAAATATTCATAAAACTAAAAATAAGTCGAAGCCAAACCTACTTCATTAACAAAACTTCAAAACCAATTAACTTGAAATTAACTCAATAACTGAAATGAAAGTTTCTAACCTACTTTCACTCCGCTTAACAGCGATTTTTTGTTGTGTTTTAAAACCTTCAAAAGAATATAGTATTTTTAAAGAAATTAATTTTTTATAAATGAAGTATCGAGAAATCAATCAGTTAAACCTCAAATAAATTGTGTGGAAATATGAGTTGCGGATAAAGCTGCTTCACAATTTAAAGGTAGTTTCTCAATGCCTTTTCAGCATCTTACGAGGTTAAAATGTTAAATGTTTTTATTTTCTCCTTCATTTTTTGTGTTCTCCTTCATTTTTTATTTTCTTCTTCATTACAAGTTTTGAGATTATACGCTTAAAAAAGAAAAACATTTAGAGACAGGTTATTACAAGATTTTTATTAATTTCGTTATCTCCGCTAGTTTTTCACTTAAATCTTAATATAGTCGAAAAATATTTTGAGTTTTTAACACAATAAATTGAATCTTTCTAACACGTATAGTGTGTCAAGAACAAAACCAGAAAATTGTGCACATAATAAAAATTAGTGTAACAAAGAGATCGCAGTTTTATGCTAAAAGAGGACGCAGTTTTATGCTAAAATTGTTTCAGTTAAAATTGTTTGTTTGTTTATTTCGGCGTTTAATAACATTCATAGTTTAAAATTACATAAATAAAAGCACTGGCGGAGGGAGAACTGGAGAAGGCATTATTTTGTCTTATCACCAAGCCCCAATCGTACGTATTTACAATAATCGTATTATATATATATATATATATATATATATATATATATATATATATATATATATATATATATATATATATATATATATATATATATATATATATATATATATATATACATATATATATATTATATAACAAGGGGGTTGCAAATTTTATATGGTCATAATTTTTAAACTCTAAAATATTTTATATGAAATTTAAAATTTCTCGATGACAGGTTTAGTTAAAAATTGTACAAAAAATATTTCATCAACTTGTTGCTCTCACGTTTGGGGCAGGGGGGAGGGGCTAAGATTTTAGGGTTTCTTGTCTTCATTCTCCTATCACAGTATTTTTTTTTAAAGAATCTTTTCGTCTTACATATGAACGTAAAAAAATTTGGAATATTCTTGCTGTTTATTAGTTGGTTATTTCAAACATTTAAAAACCTTCCTACGCCACTGTATATATATATATATATATATATATATATATATATATATATATATATATATATATATATATATATATATATATAATTTACAAATTTTTTATAAAAAAACTATATGTAAAATAAATAACAATTAGTTTAAGAAATACTTCAAGAACAATATTCTTGTTAAGAGTAACAAGTAAACTAGAAAAAATTAGTTAATTAAATAAATTAATTTAAAAAAATGTATTTACAAGATCCATAATATATACGTATACTTAACAACTAATTGAAAAATATAAAAGTAAAATATATAACATTTTGAGTTGGTTAAGGAAAAAGGGTTTTAAAAACAATATTTATGTAGAAAGTAATATTCAAGTAAACGACGAAAAGTTTAAATTAAAAGAGTACTTTATTTACAAAAAAGCGTAATATATATGTATACTATAAACCAATTTGTATAAAAGTAAAATTTATTAAATTTGCTAAAAAGCTATCTAAGCAATCGGAAACAGTTTGTACAAATTGACGTATCCTCCTCAACAAGTTTACTAGATATAACATGTGGTGTTCCCCA